AGTTGAAAATGAGTCGCATTCAGCCAAGCTGTGAGCTCCACCTAGGAGGCAGTGAAAGAGACCGCGACAGGCACAGAGAGGGGCTGAGGCAGGCAGGCACCAAGCCTTGAAGAGGGGCATTCTGGCATAATGACTCTCATTTACCATTGACAGGCCTTGGGAAAGTTAAACTAATTATGACAGCACACAGATGCTGAATAGCCCTTGATGAAGTTAATCACTAGCAATCCAACAAACAGGTGGTGAATGATTTCTGTTACCTCCCCTAGAATTATGGGATGTTGGGATTTTTCTAGCGCACCACGATCCTGGGAAATGTCATGAATGTGTGTGAATATGAACAACACAGAAAACAGAAAGCTAGCGCTGTGACCTCTAATGCTGGCGAGACAAACAGAGAGATTTTCCATTGAGCTGGATGAGCTCACATGAAACGCTGCTTCGGGAAATGCAGAAATGAGCTTCATTCCACTGTAGTGGGAACAGGTGTTAAAACAAAAGCTAAAAAAATACGCACAATGTAAAAGCACAACGCAAAATGTTGCTTCACCCTCTTCAATTCAGTCTCTCAGTGGCTGTCAGTGCTGCAGACTTAATACGTTCCTCTTCCATATTAACCTTCAGACTTACACAGACTTAGACAGAGTAAGAAAATGTTTCCATGTAAATATGTTAAAGTAATAATTATATTGTCAATCTACTGATGTCTTATCAAATATGAGTCATTACAGGTAATCTTCTGATCTTAAACAACAAAGACTCATTATTCACATCCACATCACAACACTTTCAACACCTTCTTAAAACCAATAGTGGCATTTCAAGGAGAGCTGCGTCAACCGGGAGGAGAGCATAACTTAAATTAATGAGCTCTCCGATACATAAAACATCTCTTTCTCCAACTCCCACATCACTGCAGATCGCTGTTAACAGGCGGAGATAAATGTGTAAGCATAAAGATAATAGGCTTGGCTGAATGTCATTAAGTTGTGTAAAGCTCCAAGTGCCTCACTAGGGCCAAAGAAAACTCTCCACACTGAATGGATGCATGATTAGCTATTAAATATCTGTCTTTTTTTTTCAATCACATGTGTTAATTTGAACATTTTTACAAAATTCAATTAATAAGCTGGTTTGTTGGGAATGAATGACGAGCAGCTGTAAAAAAAATATATATATATATATATTTGTCAGTGTATGTAGATTCAGTCCAAGGACTTAAAGTGATTAGGTCTATTCATGATTTCCTCCAGTATTTCTGACTTAGAATCTGACTGGGCACATCACTGTAAAAGTAAAAGCTACTTCTGATAACAGGCTTTACATGTAGAAATTTGACTGATACGGCTTATGACAAGTTCAAGCTGTTGCCTTCTGGTTGTCTATGCAAGTTAATGTTCATAAAAACTTCTGTCACTTTGTCCCTCAGAGATTCGCAGTGAGATGATTAAAGGCCTGTAGCGTTCTCACACAGTGCTCCGTCTGACTTGTTGCAATTTGGAAATCATAAACATAGCCACTGGTTGCCGTGCATGGGCCTCTTCGTTACTCACACCACACACACTTCATCAATTCACAGAAACATCACGTTTGAATTCTAATGAAGTGAACACTGTTTTTATTTCATTTATATTCATTATTAATTAACATGTTTCATTTACCCATTTATGATGTGAGACAGACTCTATCCCACAAGACGAGCCGCCATTCAATCAAAGGACAAATGAATATGTGATGTCTACGGAGTTGCAAAACATTTGACCTGTTTGCCTTTAGATGTTGAAGAAACCCAAATAAATGTAGATATAAGGAAACCATGCAAACTCCACTAAGAACAACTGAGTCACTGCGACATTCTCAGAAACATAAGTGAAGGCTAGAGGACAAACTAAATGAAAGTGCCTCATGAAAAGCTTGGGAGAGATTTAGGGTTTGTCCATTTTATTTTTCTTGTTGTTTTTGCAGTTAAAGTTTCACATGAGGAGCTGAGAGGTTTGGATCAGACTTTTAATCATCCTCCTGTTTTCTTTTCTCTCTCCCTAAATGACCTCTTCTTATTAATGTAAAAAAATAAAAGGATCAAAGACTTGAAAAATTCATTTACAAAGCAACATTATTTGTCATAAAAATGGACTTAGTGCCTACAGTCCTATGATTATTTTTTACCTAATCATTAGGTAATTATTTCTTGCCATTGTCATTTAAATGGTTGGCTGTGTATTTGATGCTAATGTTTTCACCACCTTGACCCTGGATGATCATATGATGCTAAAACTGTAGTCTAAGGCCACGACACACTGCTTTCTGTAAAACCTATGAAGTCTTTAATCCACCTGCCTGCACATTTTCTTCTGACTTTGAAAAGTTCGAAGCCAACATAATCTCACATGAATTCACACAACAAGAAAGAGAATTAAAACAGTTCAAGCAATGTAATGTTTTAGTAATGTAATGTTTCTACCACAGTGACAACACACAGGATGTTGTTTCAAAAAATCTTCACAGTGCCTGAACACTTCAGTTGCACTGCACATTCAAAAAAACGTAATCAGCTATTAGAAAAGACTGTTTCATGAGTCACTATTGATGTCCTGTTAACTCTCGAGTGTGAAATCCTGAATAACAAAAGCAGCCTGATCTCGCACTGCAAATAGCAAGTGTAAGGAACAATGCAACATGAATGGAAAATAAAAAAATAAATTAAAAAACAGCAGTTAAGGAACAATCAGTTGCTTGTTCTTTTGATGACCCTATAAAGTTATAATTATAATGAAAATGATTGACTGGAAGGGACATTATTCTTTACACAATAATTTGCTCACCATACATGGGAAAAATGTCTGTGTTCCTCTGCCCATGACAGTGGTGATAGATGAGTGTTTGTATTCCCTGCTAGGTAACAGAATGAAGCAAGTTCCCCAACAACAGCCTGTGCCACAAATGAGAAATCAAGGCGTCGTAACAACCTAAACTTCACTCGCTGCCGTGCATGTATACACATTCAAAACTTCTGACAACAGCAAAACATCAAACCCAAGAGAATTAAAAATTGAAATGGCCCACCTTGGAGAGTTTACAAAGAGATGAACATTTGCTGGCTAAGCAACAGCAGAGAATTCACTAATGGAAAAATTTAGTTTGCTTCAAAAATAGTGCACTGTGCACTTTTTCCTCTCCCTAGGGTTTTGAGCCGTGAGTGAATTGTGTAGGTGTGTTCATGGGAAAACACTCAAAAAAATCACACATTTACTACCAAGCACTACTTTACAGCGTTCTACTGCTTAGTGTGTGTTTACTCATATAAGTTAATTGAACATTTAAACAATATAAAATGTATTCTGGGGGTTTCAGGTTTTACCACAAATTACTGGATTTTCACCTTTGCTTACATGAGTTTGTGAAACTCTGCAACGAGGCAATGCATCACTTCTCCTCCACTAGATATTCAATCAGCAGATGTTTCGTTGATAGTATTGTTTCCGGCACCGGTCCAGAATTGCACCACGGTTTTGGATAGGCTGGGATGTAATGACTGAAACAGCCGAGGCGGTATGAATTCATTTTCACAGTTATTGCGTTGTTTAGTAATCACTTGGTCCTCATGAATGTGCTCATTTTCAACGTGAAACAGAAAGCTGTTTCATCAAAAGAGGATGTGGAAAGGCATTCAATCTACTGGCATTTATATGACTTCATGCTATAAAGGAATGTGTTACAATATTGTGCATTACAATGAACTGATGATACAACGTGAGTGCTCTGTCCTGTTCCTAGAAAAACACCTAAAATGTGCAAATTCTTATTTTTACTCTATATTTAACTTTTAATCCAGCTCAGATAAATATGTACAAATACACATGACTGTACAGTGACTGCACAGTGCATGATGTTTTATTCACCTTATTTAAAACCCATGTCCAGCATAGTGGGCGAAGTGTATCTGCATGCACTACCTTGAAGGGGACTCCTGTCCACGTCCATTACCTTGACAAATAAGTGATATACTACCACAGAGATAAAAAAGGACGGTGACTGTAAAACTGTGGAGACAAGTTGAAACACAGAAAGCGTACTCATGATGATGAAGAGAGGGCAGACGCACAATAGAGAAATAATTAGGACAAGGCCACTGTGCATGGATCTGTCGCTGCTTCCCACACAAGCACTCAACTGTGTCAAACAGCTTGGTCAATAATCTTCAGCAATTCCTGAGGATTAGAGTCTTATTACCGAGCACCGTCTGTCACACAGACCTCACTGCCCAAACAAGTCACTTCCTGACTGTTTACGCCCGGTTTCAACAAAGAGATGAAGAATTCACTGGAAGTGACCTCATCAGGTTGAATATGTTTTTTTTATGTTTAGTTTGTATTTCTTACAAAGCTTTATTCTGCCCAAGGTTTGTTTTCATGCTGTATCTGGGCCCAAGTGTGTGTGTGTGTGTGTGTGTGTGTGTGTGTTTGTGTGTGTGTGTGTGTGTGTGTGTGTGTGTGTGTGTGGTGAGGTGTGTGTTGTGTGTACATGCACTTAGAGCAATCTGAAGAGGCTCTTTAAATTGTCTGACAGTCAACTGTTATGTAACTGACTGTTAAACACATTTTTAATTAGCCATACTCTGTGTTCACTATAGAGCCACTTTATTTGCTGCTTGGTTCTGATTTCAGATTTGAGTTTTCTCTGAAGTTAAAGGAGAAGACAGGAGTTTAAAATGTGTGTAGATGATTCATAGAAGTATTTTTGTGGTTTACAACTTTTAAACCAGCAATATTGTGTCTTGTCTCTTTATATCTTGCACATTGTAAGATTTTCACATTGTAAACTTCATATCAATTTGAAAGCACTCCATTTTGTTCATAGGGCTACGTGCACATTTGTAGCTGAGAGAGTCGTGAACCTGGTGTCATAGCCAGCACTCAGCTCTACCTTCGCCTTGTATAGTTTGACAAAAGGAAGTAAACGGAACAATCCCCCCAAAGTACGTGTAAGACCCAAGTTCTTACCTTGTCCATGCATTTCGGTCACGGCAACAGCAGCAAGAACCAAAACCGTGAAGAGGCTCTTTAATGGACAGTCTTGTCTTCTACACATGTCTACTAAAGTCGAGGTCGCTCTTCGCGCAGCTACACAACACGTCCTTGTGTTGAAATATAAGAATACTTCCAGGGCTTAAAAAAGGGGGGAAACAAGCAAAGCGAGAATTTTAACGTCTGCAAAATACAAACAGAGCCTTGCGGGTTGCCGTCGCACTTCCTTTGTAATTCGCGGGGTGAAAACAGTCGAGAATAATCAAGTGAAAGACGGAGGTCCCTGTTCAATTTGGACGCTCGGTAAACGGATTCGTGGCTGTGTGAGCTGTGGGCACATGGAGAGAAGAAGCAGCCGAGGCTTCAGCACCGCGGACAGCTCCTAGCGTCAGCCGAGGGAACAGCCTCCTCAAAGTTAGTTCAACCTGTTTAAACCCTGTGGCTGCTCCCTGCATCTCCTTTACATCTCAATGACATCCTTCCTCCACTCATCTTTTCATTTCATATTCATCAACAGTGACCACATTCAAATGTACAGAAGAGGATATTTTTAGGAATACCACTCTACTTCTGCTGTTATGATAAAAACCAGCAGCAACTGGGTCTTTTCTTTAACCTATTATTTAATCCTTTGTTTAAACTGGTAGACTCCCGGGGATCATAATCTCCCTTTTCTATTATTTATCCTTTTTTTATATGAGATCTTTGCACAGACCACAGTATGAGAATGGACTAAAACTTCAAACAAAAAATAAAAAAGCTACATATTAAGAAATAATAATGACCAGTGAAATTAGATGTGATTGAGTGCAATATTTCAAAATATGCAGAAGAAATGATAAATTTTCATTTCTATTCCTGAATAGTATAGTATCGAAAACCTGTTTTCTGAGCTGCATGCAGTACAGATTAATTAAAAATGTCCCAACCAAACATTAAATGACTGTATTTAGATGATGAAGTAGACATAGCTTTATTGGCACGACAGTTTTCACAGTACAGCTTAATAGATAAATGATTTATTGTTTCCCCAAGAAGACCACCCCACCTTCCACATGTGATAAAGCATAGTGATCTGTGATACATGGAGTTAAGAGGCTTTCGGGTATACAGTACATGTTTACACTCTCACCATAAAAGACAGAATGGTGGATTGAACAATGGCCTTCTGTACAGATATCCAGGTTTGGTCTTCAGTGTGCCGGTGACTTGTTCCACATGGATCTTAAAAGTGAGTGTTATCTATCTGCTTTTGTTCATACCACCATTACATTGCATTGCTTTTAATGACCAACCCTACTTTGAAAAAAACACACACCATTTTTTTGCCCACAGGACTCAGGACTGCAGCTGAGTTTTTTTTTTTTTTAATCCCACTCCCAGTCAGGCTCAGACTGTGCATGACGAGCTCTGGGGTGAAACGCTCCTCAGGTGCTGGAAATAATCATGACATGAGTCTCTGAGTCTCCTAGGTCAACTCCTTTGTCCTTTTTTCCAGATTCAGTTTATGTCTCAGGGCTGTATCTATCTGCCAGCGATGTATGTCTGCCCAGTGCTTGAAGGAGTGCTTTAATGAATAAAGTAGTGGTTGCTAAATCGATTACTGAGGGTAAGGCAGTAAAAGTAAAAGCATACAGAATGTAACAATGACACATACTCTTCAGGAAAATCTGCATTCGGTTTCCTGTGGAGGCACAAGACAAGTCAACGACCAAGGCCAGTGGAGAGCAGCACAATACATGCATGGCCAACAACAGACACATACACATATACATATACATATACATATACAAATACACATAACCACACAAAGGTGAATGGTATGTGTGAGGAGGGAACTACAGGGGGGAGTTCCGAGTCCTGATAACTCTGGGAAAAAGCTGTTTGTGAGTGTTTGCGGGTAGTGACCTGCAGAGGTGACAAGCAGCATGGGAGGGGTCAGAGATGATCTTTACAGTCCATTGAGTATGTATGGTTTCAGCTGAGGGGAATGAGTTGCCTTGTTGACAATCATCCATGACGATGCATGCGATGACGTGTTCAGTGTTAATTTTTCACTTCAAGTTATTGCTGATGTGTGTTCAGTTTGTCTGGGATTCAACGTGCATCACAAGTCAACACAGAGAAACTGAAGCATGAGCAAGACACTCAACTGCTACAAGCTTTAAGAGTTGTTATATGACCTTTGACCTCCCTGCGGAGTCTGAACGAATGAATGAGAGGTGAATGAAATGAAAAGGTGATTTCTTCTGCAAGATCAATAAAGTCCCATCATTACATTATTGTTCTTGTAACAGGAATTAATCAGACTGTGCTTTTACTTTATTAACAATCTCATCATCCAGTCTTATTCAGAAATAACTAATCTGATAAGTTTGGAGAAATATGCTTTCCCCTTATGACACCAAAATCATCAAAAAGTATTAGTAGATAGTATCTACTGTGCTTATCATTACACCCCCTTTAGTTATCTAGGTCATATTAGTCTGTATCAAAAGAGGCTTAATATAGCCAGTAACATAATTGCTATGTGCCCATATTCTGTTCAGCCACTCAGTAATTTCCACATAAGTGAGAAATGAGCAACACCACATACCACAGGGTGGATCTCTGTGCTGCTGTATTGCACTCTGCAGTACTCTGACCATGAAGACGCAGCAGGTTGACATGTATTCAGAGGCAGTCTGTTTGGCAAGACAGCATCAAAATATAAGTAATTAGAAGACAAGAAGAGAGATGGGGATGTGCGTGAGGAATAAAGATGTTGGAAGAGAACCAGAGTCAGACTTTAAAAAGTATAAGTAAGCAGATCATTTCAAAACAAGACCACTCACTCTGAAAATAAGATGTGCACACTGGCAGCAGTGAAATGTTCACACCTGCTCTTTGAGATCCACACAAAAGCCATGTGTGATTTGTTATCATCGGTTGATGGATGAATCACACACTCTTGTGTCACCCCTCTGGCCCTTAAGACTCAACTGCCCTGGATTAACAGGGAATTTATTTCAGAAATATATTGTGTGTCAGTGTCATCGCACACAGACTCATTTTGTTCTCTCCTTTATTTGCTCTGTCTCATTTTCTCTTTTTTATGTTGACTCTCCTTTCAGGTTCTATTTGACTTTGTCTCACTTTGCCTCTCTCTGTCTCCTCTATCACTGCGCCAATGTCTCTGTTTTTCTTCTAAATTTATCTCTCTGTCCCCCCCCCCACACACACACACACACACACACACACACACACACACACACCCAAGTGTGGGACACTCTCCTTGCATCAGTCCTGTACTCCCTCTGGCCGGACTCAGAAAAGGCTCTAATAGTGCAACTTTCCCTTTAGTGAAGCTCGGTGGAGCCATAAAGCAGCCCCGAGGTCTAGTTGGCAGCCAGATGGTTGCAGCCGAGCTTTCATTCTGCTAATGGGTAAGGGGGTGTGGGGGTGGAGGGGCAGAGCAGTTAATGAAAATCAGACTCTTGAAATGAAATGACCAATGTCCCAAGGTAATGAGGCACACATCAGCAGCAAGCCTTTACAAGCATTAAGGCAATGTTAGATGGCAGGATTATGTAAAAACATCTTATGATGACTGTTCATTAGATAGCTAAGGACTGACTGATTATTACACGGCATGTTCGGCTAACAAACACACTCCTACTGACTCAGAGCGCTGTCTGTGATATTTAGATTGACTGGCTTGGCTAAGTGCTTCATCCAAGCAAGGCTGTGTGCCAAATGCTATCAATGAGTCTCCACCCACGCAGCATTATAACCTACAAATTACAGCCCGTATTACAGTCACAGACAACAACTATATCAGAGTTACAGGACTCACAAATGCACGCAAGGCTAATCATCGCGAATTACATTCACAGTGCAGAACCATGACCCCTTTCAGCCAACAATCGCAATTAGAGTAGTGTCCTGAAATGTGTGCAGCATTCACTGTTATTTACTGCTGTTTGTCTGGCTGCACCAATCAGTCCTCAGCTGTTAGAGGGGAGGGAACTGTGAGACATTTAGGGTTTGAAACTGAGGGCTGATATCAGTGTTTGTAGTAGAAATTGATATATTCCCAAATCAACACACAACAGCAAATTTCCTTATCTGATGCAATTCAATCCTTAGTTGATCATTCCAGTACGTTGTTTTCAACTTTTTTATTCGAAAGTTTTAATGGTGTTTGAACTTTTTTTTTTCTTTTTTAAGAGTTTAAGAAAAATATTCATGATTACCACAGAAGTGCAACAGACAGTCTTAATTATTTAAGTATAGTAAACACTCAGAGACGCTTGATCACAGAGAACAGACCAGCTCGTGTTATTGTGTATTTTCTCTGCTGAAGATTGTCAGGGACGTGGATTTCTAATAGCATTGATTTCCTCCGAGACTTTCTTTTTGTGATTGCTCGAGCGTAGATTTGGTTTTTTTTTTTTAAAGCAATTTTCTTCAGCAAAACACCATTCTGGGAAACAGATTACACATTTTTCACAATAGTCAAATTATTGTTGTCATGTGTTTTCACATGAACGCATGCTGGCATTGTTTTTTTTTATGTCAGTATTATTTAGTCACATAAATAGTGAATGTTTTGAAAGTTCATGTTAGTGTTTCAGATTTTGTGTTTCAAACCTTGTCAAATTTTATCACTAAAAGATAAGAAAACAAAAAAAACCTGTTTGTTTCTTTCTGATTGTCTGTTTTCATTTTACTTTGAGTTTTCCTAACGTACATGCATATAATGCACCTCCCCTTATATGCATTCATTTCTTACATGGCTAAAATGTGTGAATATGTGTGAATAGAGAAAACAGAGTCTTCCACATTCCTGATGAGGAGAGGACCATCTCTTTGATGATCATCTCTTTGTACAACACTGATTTATATTTTCATTTATTTTTTGTTTTTATTGTAATTTTTTATCATTTATTCTATGTAATGTCTTTTGTTTGGACCCTGAATCTGTAATACAGTTTTGATTGATTGATTGATTGATTGATTGATTGATTGATTGATTGATTGATTGATTGATTGATTGATTGATTGTTATTAAAACAGAGTTGACACACTCTGTTTTCTCTTATGCTTCTTATTTTCATTGGAGTTGACATTTCGTCACAGTTGTTACATATTTAATAGATAAAACTGGTAAATGATGATGATGTCTATTGAGGAGACCAAACTGATTCCTTTCTGCTCAGAGCCTTAAGATGCTGTTTCA